CCGTGGTTCGTGGCCATGGCCATGGAGTAAAAATTGTAGTGGTAGAGACTTGCAACCATAGTTGTGGTTCGTGGCCATGGGCGTGGACAAAAAATGTAGTGGCAGAGACCTATAGCCATGGTTGTGGTTCATGGCCATAGCTGTGGGAAGGAAACTGAACTAGCAAAAATCTAGTGCTAAAGCACTGATTTGAGCGCTACAGCGATGAGAGTAGATGACCAAATTTGGTCTTGAGTTCTTCATCAAAGTTGTAGCCATTGATATTAGCTTTTCAATGGCGCTGGAATCACCCAAAAAGGAGGTCTAGAGCTCTAATTATGACATTTTTAGTGAGCAAATATCAAGTTGTCATCATTTAGTAAAACAGTTGCGGTTTTTACAATTTTTAACATGGTAAATGAGGGAATTAGAAACTGAGTTCTTCATGAAAGTTTTAGAAAATGTTCTTGTCTTTCATATGAGATAAGGATGAGAGTGATTGGAGTTGTAGAACTCTCTATGGGTTGTTTTATGTGAAGGTTGTCAGTGTAGAAATACGTGATTTTGATAAATTGCATGTGATACATGTTGTATGATGGGTTAAATTGGTGAACATGAATAGAATGCTTGTGTCTATTGCATGTTTTGTGTTATAAGATGATGATAATGAGCATTGATATGCTATCTTTGTGTACTTGAAATGATAATAAGCACTGGAATGCTATCCTTGTGTAGGTAAGATTTCTAAAGTTTGTTTCATTTAAAATTTAATTGTTATTTGTGTGTTGTTATTTCATTTATTTCTAATATTCTACATTTGGTATTTGTGTAGCTATGAAGCTATATGGGAAATTATTGATAAGAGATGGGATAATCAACTTCATAGGCCTTTGCATGTGGCTGGATATTATCTTAATCCTCAATTACATTATGAAGCTAATTTTAGAAATGATGATCATGAGGTGAAGCATGGGTTGTTAAATTGTATGAAAAGATTGGTAAAGGATCCTCCAATAAAAAAAAAAATTAATATGCAATTTCTTGAGTTTCATTATGCTAGAGGCATTTTTGGCCTGGATGATGCAAAGGTGGGAGATGTTCGGGGATCATTGTCCAGAATTAAAAAGGTTTGTCATTCGTGTTTTAAGCTTGACTTGTAGTTCTTCTGGATGTGAGCGTAATTGGAGCTCATTTGAAATGGTAATTGAAGTTCGTAACCTTTTTATGGTTTTCAAATTTCTTTCTTTAGTTTTAGACTTAAATTAAATGATCAATTGATCATAATATTTTTGTATATTATTTTCTAGGTTCATACAAAAAGGAGAAATCGCTTGCATCAAAAAAAGATGAATGACTTGGTGTATGTCATGTACAACTTGAAGTTAAAAAGTAAAGTAATAAGGAAAATAATTACTCTTCCATTTGACGATATTCAATCAGATGATGAATGGATAGTTGAAGAAGGGGACAATGTTGGTGAAGAGAATGTTGATGTTGAGCAACCTCAAGGTGAAGGTGAAGGTGAAGGTGAAGGTGAAGGTGAAGGTGGAGGTGGAGGTGGAGGTGATGGTGTTAATGTGCAATTGGATGGTGGAGGTTCAAGCTCAAGTAATCCAACTTTGGATGCATTTCATCTTGACAAATTGGTTTTTGATGATGATCTTAGTGAGCATTCATCTGAGGAAAATGTTGATGGTCATGATGGAAATGATGATAAAGACCTTGGAGTTGGAGATGATATTATTAGAGGATTAGACATGGAGATTTGAAGATATTACTATGTGATGTCTTAGTTTTTTATTTGTCTATTTTTAAGAACTTGTATTTTGTCATTTGTGTGAACTTTTGTTAAGAGCATTTATTATTAATGTAATTTGATATTTTACTCTTTAATATGGAGTTAAAATGTACAATTATTATGTTATTTTTAATTATTTTTATAATTTTTTTTTATTGAGTAATCTCTTACGAGTTTACGAAGTCTCCACGAGATTACATAAATTCTCGAGATTGACAACCTTGATTTACAATACTCAGCTTACACATTAGCAACATTGAGCAATCAAAAGAGATCAGAGATATGATGCCATTAAACACATGATGATTTGTTTCGGAAGAGAAAAGTGGGTGCATGAGCTATTGCCTATTTACAATACTCAGCTTATATATTAGCAACATTGAGCAATCAAAAGAGATCAGAGATATTATGCCATTAAGCACACGATTATTTGTTTCAACAGAGAAAAGTGGGTATAAGAACTATTTATTTACAATACTCGGCTTATATATCAGCAACATTGAACATTCAAAAGAGATCATATATATGATGTTAAAAATAATGGAAACATAGGATATAGCACACAAAAAAGGGAAACTCACCGACTCAACTTTCCATCCAGCACCAAATACAAAATCTACTGGCTCATATCCCCTGCAGTCAAACAACATCAACGGGGAGAACTTCCCTGACTCACTGATTTCTTGAGTGAGTGGTTTCCCTTTGCCTTGGATCATTGTCACAGTGCCATCCCTGCCACAAAATTTGCACTGCATACCAAACAAAGGATATTAAGAAACAACCAACAGCTTAAAAAAAAAACAATCCTAAGAATCACTCATGAATGCAAATACCACACTTGGTGCTTACAGTTTGAAGTTATTATGCAGCAGAATCATATAACATTTCCGAAACCTTTCCTCCCATGTCACAGACAGAAAAATAACTACACAAGCAAAAGGAAATCATGCTAAACAAAATAGAATTCTGCTCACCTGTAACATATAAGTGACCTTACATAGTTACAAAACAGATTAGTAAAACCCAAATTCAATTCTAAAACCACAAAATAATGTTTCCTTTGTGTTTTTGTAATGCAAATAAATATATTGGATAATCTTGTCTTTCTACCCTGTATAGTTGTTTTTTATTTTTTGGTATAAGACTATATGTATTCTCCACTTAGAACAATTTAGTCAAGCCAAATAAAATCACTATAGGCAGCAAAATTTTCTCTCTTAGCATTTAAAACAGTTGCATATCCAAAGCCTGAAATCAAAACCACTAAAATCAATGGTTAAATATTCATAAGAACAGTTTTGTCGCTCATAATGGTCTCATGAGAATTGAACAGGGTTGGCAAAGGATACCTTTATGAGCGTTTGTTCCTTGTTACAAGAAATTTTTTTTCATAACCAGTAATCATGATTCATGGAAATCATAAATGTTCATGGGAATGTTTATAAATGTAATCAAGGGACATTTTTATTGTATTAAATAAGAAAATAAAGGTAATGTTATATTTTTACCCCATTGAAACTTCCCATTTATCTTGGGAATGATTCCCCTAAATATTGATTCTCAAGTAGAAAAAATTTGTTTTGTACCAATCGCAACATTAGTGTCATACAAAAATAAAAACTAAAAAAAAATGCATAGTTACATACGCATAATATAAGAATTAAATGATAAAAGGGAAACAGTGAAAATCAATATTACTCCAATTAGATAGTGAGTATTAAGTTGGGAGTAAGAAACATAGCTATGATTCGAGGGAGTGATGTTGTAATTAGCATCTCAATGTCTCACTTTGAGAGAGCATTAAATTGAATTGAAACTGAGTGGTGAAAGGGCATTGCAAAGGGGAAGTTAGGTCACCTTTTGAATGAGATGAGTAGTGCCCTTGCCAACGGGGAGAGGAACGGTGTCGTTTAAAACAACGCAAGTTTCCTTTTGGCTCAGTTCTCCGCACCTTCCACACTTCAACTATGACAGGGAAATGAAAATTGAAGAAAAGGGAACGAAAGAAAGACGCTGAATTTGATTGGGAAGAGATAAAAAAGGAACCTTGAAGAGGTAGGAGAAATCGGGGTCATCGCAGCCAGCTTGGGGTTGGAGATTGGTCAGGTTCTCCAGCTCTGCACTGATCATCAACATGAAGTTCACCATTTTCCCCTCTTTTTTCTGCCTCAAACCAAAGTTCACCTTTTGCTTAGGGTTTTATTTTGTTTGATCCTAAGAATAGACCCGTTAATTTTCATGTTGAAGTTAGGTATTCCACTCTTTGAGGTATCTCTAATTTCTTTGAGGTATCTCTAATGTAAAAAGAAATTAGTAGTGATACTTTAGAAGAAAAAAAAAATATATATATATATATATATATATTAAAAGGAGAAAGAAAAATTAAATTAATTAATTTAGTTTAAATTAATTTGGTATAATTTTTTTAATCTAATAATCTAAACTAAATCAATTTAATATTGAATGGGTTAGTTTAATTAGAGTAATTGGATATCTAATAAAAATATTTTTAAGAAAATTAAAAATAAATACAATTTTCTCTCAAAATTGATGGATAATGTTGTGAGAAAATAATGTAAATTATATATTTGAGTGTAATCATTTATACTTATTTTTCTAACAAAAATTTACTTATACTAATTAAATAATAACATAAATTATAAATAAAGAAATAACACTTGAATAATTAATTAAATGACACTAAGCAATTAATAATAATAGATTGAAAATTAATCAAAATGTCTAACACAAATTAAAGTGCTTAACATAGACCAAATTGTATGATATAAGTTCAATACACCTAGTCACCAACATATACACTTAATTGTCCAACTACAAAAGTCACATTTATTATGTTAGCTAATAAAATATAGTAATATATAAATAGTTGGTTTGGTTCAAAATTTGAAAGTGTGAATTTGATACTAGAAGTAGAATCAATCAATATTGGATTTTAGTTGATAATTGATTCATATCTAACTCAAATTAAAACAATGAATCAATTTAATTAATTTGATTTGAATTATTAGATTCATCAAATTGATCTAATCAATGAAAATAATATCAATTTTTTATAATATTATTTTTTTTTAATAATATCGCAGATAGAAAATATTATATTTGCTCGTGTTTTAAGTAGGTGGGAACAAGTGGAAATATTCAATGTTACTAAGCTCAGTACAAATCAAGCAATTAGACTTGTTTGACCGAAAACTAGACTCTTAGCAATTGAGTTAGTAATAAGATCGAATATGTCTTTAGATATGATTACTTTTTTTTAAGTGTGTGTATGTGTGTCACACACATATTATATCTAAAAAGTTATACTGTATAAATTAATTCATACAATTTAATTAATGACTCACTGATTCGACTATTAACTCTTCAATTCAGTATTTTGACTGAATTGATAACCAATCTAGTTCTAATAACATTGATAATATTATTTCTTGTTCATAGACATAATCTATGCATTATCTCAAAATTGACAATTTAGAACTAATTACGTTGAAACATAGTTTTTACTATAAAATTTTATTTAAACATTAATAGAAATTGATCACAAAGCATAGGTTGATCCCTCATGGATTAGGAGTTGATAATGTCATATAATTATATGGGTTACAATGTTATATTAATAAAGATAAAAGTTATATATATATATATATATATATAAAGCCCATAGCTAATTAATCTTGGCCTTTTTATCATTGAAAGAAAAAAAAAATCAATTCTTAAAGCATCTTCGATTAAATTTGCTTAATAATAAATATTATTTTTATGTGTCACATAATTTTGATGCCTTTAAAGTTAAAAAGAGTTGTTTTTATAAGTAAATTTTTAGTTGCTTATCATTTATATGGGTATAGGAGAGAATATGATATATTAAAGAGAGAGAAATATATGTGAGTTAAGAATTTTTTAATAAGAATTTTTATTAGAATAAAAATTAAATAAATTACTTAAATATGACGTGATAATAGAGGATCTAATAATAAATAAGATACATGATTAATCATCATGATAACATATATGATTCTACGTAATAATTGGTTCTAACTTCTAACATATGTGATTATTCCTTGTGAAATTGATTCTGGGTGTGAACTTAACCAATTTTAGTTATATTTAAAAAGTAAGTCTTTTTCATTCAAATGAAACTAATTCTTTTAAATTTATTTTGGAAGTCCCTTAATTCTATTCACCTAACTAGTTAACAAATTTGCTCGCAAGTTTTTAGAACATTCCTCTCTAGTTTCTCCCTCCCTGACCTCTTAAAGGGGTCAGTAAAGGCACCACTCTAGTGGTATATGATCTCTCCCAAGAAGTCCTTATAGTTCTAATACAAAAATTAAAGTCACTTTTGAATAATGTAAATCAATTCTTTTTAAGATCAATTTTTTTAAAATTACTTAAAAGTTAAACCAAATGATTGCTAAATATGAAAAATAATTTTCGATTTAAGAAAAAAAAAAAGCTTGAATCTTTTGTTTTTCCTTTGAATTATTAACGAGATTCTCTTTTTCAATTTTTGGTTGGGTGAGGGAGGTGGCTGATAAATGAAGCATTCATTTGCATGTCAATGATCAAGTCATGATGTAAACAAAAGTTGAATGACATAGATGGTAACTCATGCAAACATCGCTAGCTAACTTATAGTTAAGCAATGTCTATAATTCTTGTCTTCGTGTCACCAATAAAGGTCTTCAATATCTCACTAAGTAGTGTATATTTGTCTTCCATTTCACTTTTGTTATTTGTGTCAAAGGAATCAAAAACAAATTGCTGTTATTAAATTTGAATGGGAAAGGTAGTGTTGCACTTCCCAGCCATGGGAACCACAATCTTCATTCTCTTGGGGTTGGTAGTTACTGTTCACAGTTTGTTGAACCATGGTGGCTCAAGACACAAGATTTTGGAAGTTGAGAGAAAATTAAAGCATCTTAGAAGACATTCCTTAAAAACTATTCAGGTAAAATTATATCTTAATCATCATTTTATTGTATTGCATGTTTTTAACTCCATTATATATTTATACTAGAATTATCTTAGTATGATATAATTGACAGATAACTTTATCTCTTAAATATGTTATCATTTAATAGAAAAATATTTGTACAAAGACTTAATTTCTTATATAAATATCAATATCTTAAGAGATCAGTTTTAACTCTCAGTATATAAATATTTTAAACTTCTATGAAAATGTTATATATATCAGATAGTGTTGAGTGAGAATAATTATTATTTTATTCCACTATACTTGACCATCCCTATATATATTTAGAAGCCTAAATAATTTTATGTAATTACTAAAGTAAAACTATTCATGATTGTAGAGTGAAGATGGGGATATCATTGATTGCATTGACATTAATAAGCAACCAGCCTTTGATCATCCAGCATTGAAAGGTCACAAAATCCAGGTGAGTCACATTTGATTATTTGTTTATAACCATGATTTTTTGGGTTATTGATAGCTTAGCTTGCAAAACTAATTACAACTACTATGTGAACATATATAATATCAGATGGCTCCCACTTATGATTCAGCTAAGGAGGACACAACAGTAGGGACCAGAACTACCAGAACTAGAAATAATGCAAAGATCAGTGGCAAAAGCAAAATGATGAAGGAAAGGGTTGAAGAGTCATCTCTGATTGTGACTTCACAAGTGTGGCAGAAAAGTGGAAGATGTCCAGAGGGAACAATACCTGTTCGAAGAATACAAAAGAAAGAGGTGCTCAAGGCTCAATCAATTGAAGACTATGGAAGGAAGAAGCCAAGCTTCTCTCACCAACCTGTTGGTCAACTCAATAAGAATCTCGATTCCTTTGTACAACTTAAAAACCACTCTGTGAGTTTGTTTTATATTTAGTACTTGAACTTTTGAATAAACAACTTCATTAACTAGTTATTTAACAAACTTCTATTAAATGAGTTAATTTGTTCACAAGTTTAATCGTGAATCTCTCATAAATAAACTAAAAAAAGTTTATATATAGATAAAACGGTTAAGGATAAACTATTAAATTGATCGTTATAGTTATTTTCTTTTTAAGTTTTAGGATTGAATATGTTTTTAATGTCTTTATTTTTTAACTATACTATTGATATGATGCATCAACCAAAAAATCAACATGATCATTCATAATAAAGTCTCTCTTCTTAATTATAGTTTATATATACAAAATTCAAATTCAATATCATATTTGAAAGAACTGAATTCAGTTTCGTTTGAAGTAACAACTTGTTACTTTTCCAAGTTTTTAAGCATAGTTTTGTTTTGTTGCACTTGGAAGAACCAACTCTCTTTTGCTTCTTGTTGATTTGACATTTATGTGAGACAGAAGGCAATATTGTTTACAATAGGGTACCGCTACTTGGGAGCAAAAGGAGATATTAAAGTGTGCAACCCTTTTGTTGAAAAGGACGATGAGTACAGCATTTCTCAAGTAGCTCTCTTAACAGGGCCATACAATGACTTTGAGTGCGTTCAAGCTGGATGGGCAGTAAGAAGTCCCTTCTACTTTCTTCTTCTTTCATGCATCACAATATAACTTGTGCTCCTTACTTAAATCCAAAGTTATTATAACACTTTTGCATGAAAAATGCCCTCCAACTTAAACTATCTATTGAGATAAGATTCATCTATTTTGATATTGTTAATCTGATAACAAATATAGAATGACCGTAACAGAATTATAATCAAATAAAACAAATTCTAATAAATCAATTTTATCAGTAAAATTAACTAACAAACTATTTGTTATCAGATTAACAATATCAAAACAGATGAATCTTATCCTAATACTATCACTCCCTTAAAATAATGCTCTATAGGTTCCTCATGCTTGGCCTTCAAGTTATATATTATATATATTTCTTCCTATCCTTTTTATAAGAAACTAAGTTATAGTATATTTTACACTATAACTTGTTTCTTAGAAAAATGACTAGAGGAATATGAGACACGTGTTTAAACCTTTTGAGCTTTGAAGAATTCATGGTCTCTTTGTACAATAAACTTGTTCCAGGTCAATCCCAGTGTGTATGGAGATAGGCAAACTCGGTTATTTGTATACTGGACGGTAAGCTTGCAATTGCATCAACCTTAAAATTTAGTTTAATTATATATCAATTCTTTGTTTGAGACTTAGAGAAGAGGGGACCAAAATTTGTGAATTACTAATCCTTTATTTAGTCATGTGTCTGCTACATGATATTTAGGTTTATTGTTTTGTGTTCTACATTTTTGGGCCTAGTAATTTTGGAACACTAATTTTTGCAGGCTGATGCTTCAAAGAAAACGGGTTGCTTTGATCTGACTTGTCCCGGGTTTGTTCAAACTAGCAATGAAATTGCATTGGGTGCTGCAATTTATCCAATATCAATTCCTGGTGGGCTTCCATACAAAATAATTATTTACATCTATAAGGTGAGTAACTTGCATGTTTGGTAACAATTGTTTTAGGGGAAATGATAGAGTTTTCTCAAAAACTCTCTCAAAACAGATAAAGGCTGTGTTTGTTTGAATTTTTTCCTCTAAAAAAGTGTTTTTTTAATAAAATAAACAGTTATCTACTTTTCTAACGTGTTTGTTTAAACTTATTTTTATTAAAATTCTACTTTTTTAAAGAAATAACTCTTATTTACTTTCTAAATAATTACTTTAAAAAAACACTTTATTAGAAACATTTTTTTTTTAAGTTTAAAGAAATGATCCCAAAATTGAGTCATTAGTTTTCTTAAATAAGCTGAAGTGAACTTCCATAGATGTATAGATGAAGCATAATTCATCTTAAGTTGCCTTTTTTTTTAATTAATTAGAAAGAACATACAATGTAGGAATTTTACCATCATTCATTCAATCACAAAGTGCCATTTATAAGTTTTTAACTTTAATTATAGTAATGCTTTAAGTCATACTCAAATAAGTGTTGGTGGTGTTTCTACTGTGATATAATAAGAATTAAAATTTTACTTTAATAATATATAATGAAATTTAACAAAATTATTTATTATTTATATTACCGAAGGGAAACCTCTATTTTGATTGGAAAATAATACAAGCAACAATTTTACAATTACAATACAAATGTATAAAAATTAAACTCTTTTTATCATCTTCCTCTACATTAGGATCCCTATACCAATAACTGGTGGGTGCAATATGGTGAGAAGACCAACATAGGTTATTGGCCCCCAGAGTTATTTGAATCGATATGTTACAATGCTCAATCTGTGGAGTGGGGTGGTGAAGTTTACAGCTCAACCATAGGGCACATTCCTCACACTGCAACACAAATGGGTAGTGGACAATTTGGTTCAGATATTGTTGATTCTTCCTCAATAACAAGAATGAGAATTCATGACAATTCTGAGGCCTTGAAGAACCCCGAATGGGTTTATGATTACTCCGACGAATATAACTGTTATGATGTTTGGTATATAAAGGATTATGTTGAAGATCCTGAGTTCTTTTATGGGGGACCTGGAAGGAATCCTAAGTGCCCTTAAGTCTTAATGGTTACTAGTTTCAACTTAGAACAGTAGAGGGAGGAAATTTCTTGAACCATCATTTCTTACTTCTTGTTCAGTAGATGGAGAAATGTAGTGAGAAGTTTAGAAATTTACACATTATGATTAACGGAATAATTGTAGGAATGTTATAATTTAGTTCTATTATTTATTTACTTACAAGGTTTAGGCATTATATGATTGTTTTGATTTCTTCGAGTTTTGTTTAATATTTAAAGGGTGATGTTTTTCTTTTTCATTTGTGATAATAAAAGATCTAAGAAAGAGAGGTATAGAACATGCAAAGGAAGAAAATGAGAGATTAACGAGAAAAAAAAAAGTGTAAAAAGTGTGAAGAAAGTAAAAGTTCCATATTTAAATATTATTTCTAGTAGATGGTATTTAAGATGTTATTTAAATATGAATTTTGAACTAAATTACCACCCTCACATAATCTAATTAAGTGTCGAAAAAGTAATATTTACATAAATATCGTAAGACATTTTATAATATTGAATATCATAATTGAAGTTTTGGAGGACCAAAAATAAATTACATATTAAGCAAATTGTAAACAAGTTCTAAACTTATTCGGAAAAAAACAAAAACTAATAAAATAGTTTGTTGTCTCCAAAAATAAAAAACTAGCTTGAGTCTTCTTCTTTCTCTTTTTTTTTATTTATTTTTTATTTTTTACGCCTAGTTATTTCCCTTGATTCTTTTAAAAGTACACTTAACTAGTGTTAATGGTGCACCTATGCACACCTCCTTACTTTAAGGATAATATATGTATGTATCTTGTTTTATGAATTTTTTTTTTCTTCTAAACTTATAATTTGAACTCACTAACTCTAATTTATCAATTGTTAATTTTTATCTTTTATCAACTAGTTTCCTTCTTATACTTGACATATTTTCAATTCACTTTTCATCACTACGAGTATTTCTCCTTTTTTCATGTAATATTTATGTTTTTATGTATATAATTATTATTTTCATTGACTTCATAGGTTCATCACCGGTTGGTGTAGTATAGGATGTCAATGGGAGTTGTGGGGATGGGAAGTAGGGATCCATACTTGTCTTGTTGGATAAAAATACGTCTTATACTTGTCTCATACCCGTGCAGACATACATGAATCTTATACATACATGTAATATTTATGAATATTTGTGAATTTTAAAAAATAAATATAAAAAAATTTACAAATAAATTTAAGCTTGTATTTAATGTTTACCTTATTGAAATATTAAAGATAAACAACTAAAATTAATTTTTAAACTTACATTTAAAGTTAATTTTGTTGAAATATTAAAAACAATATAAAAATACAAAATAAACATATAAATATTTAAGTAATTTTTTATTGCAAATATAAATACTACACTACCCATCCCAATCCCATTTACAAACAAGTAAAAAAATATTCAAATTTGTTACCTGCAAATATCTATTTAAATTATTCATTTATTCACGATAGACTTTATCTACAAATACCCATGACCGAGGTATATTTTTGTCATCACTCGTGTTATTTTTTTTTAAGCTACCCGGTCTTGGTGTAATCTGGATTGGTCAAGGTGCAATCCTGACCGGTTGTAGTGTTGATCTTGATGCGTGTCGAAGTAGGTCATGGTGCAATCTTGGTGCCTATGCTAGTCAGTTGAAGTGCTAAATCCTGGTCTGTCATGATGGTAATCCATGAAGCACCACACATAGGTACCACCAAGCTACCAACAAGCCACCAAGCAATCTAGGACCATAGAATGGCACCAAGTCATGAAGGATCACACACGACTTGTGTCAAACGCTAGTATTCCAATATGATGGGAACCCTTGATCATTTCTCTACCAGTCAAGCAATATAGGGGTCAAAACTCAATTCCAATGAGCAAAATGAAAATGTCACTCTATTCACGGAGATACCATCAACTAATATTACATTTGACCAATTTTAGCATTCCATATAATTATAACAATATCTACATACGAATATGCTGTAAGAACAAAAACCAAAACGAAAAGTGGAATAAAATAGCAAGATACATGTTGTGAAACAACAACACAGTACAGGACTTCAGTCACTTGACGAACTGTACAACCTCAGCTCCATGTCCATAAACAGAACTAGACATGTTGTTTTCTCTCCTCTTGAATGGATTGAAAAATCCTAGCTGCTGATTCCGTCGCAGATTTCCGGTTATGTGGTACAACTTTGATGACTTGGGTTTGCTGTCTGGTTGCAACAGAGGGAAGAGGAAGAGATTGTGCATCACTTCCTTCAGCAATTTTCCCTGCACTGATTCCCTGTGCCATTTCACTAGGACTACTTGTTGTGCTCCCTTGTAATTGTCTCTCCTTAGATGCCTGAGATTTCTTGACATGTAAAGTAGCTCCATTCCTCTGAACTGGCAAGTTGGATGAGCTTTGGTTAGGATGTGTGTTGAAATTGGCTCCCTCTACTGATGAATGACCATTTTGACCGTGAGAACCTTGTGCAGCAAATTGGTTCACCGGTTCAACAGCTGACCCTGATGCTGCTTGATTCATTACTGGCATGCCATAGGGAGGGAAGTAGGCGTGACTGGCCGGAGGCACGAACGGTGAAACCCCAACTACCTGATGAGAAGCTGGGAATTGATAGGCAGGATTCATGAAAGTAGTGCCAATAGGTGCTTGCCCGAATGGCACGCTACATCCTCCATGCATTGTACCTGTAAATTCTGGGCCGGGATACGGCTTGTACACAAGCCCTTCAGAAGGTGACATGATAGGAATTAACCACTGATGTCCAGGTGACTGATTGAAACACCAGGGACTTGTTCTATTATCAGAAGTTACATTTGCCTGGTGTGGAGTTCCTGAAAAGGGGGTGTGATTTGTAAGGTGGCTACCATTTTTCGGGGATGAAAAAGACGTTTTTCTACTAACTGCATTCTCAGCAGAACATTCTGTTTTATGGTTAGGCTTTTCAGAATCGTTTTTCCTCTTATGATTTTGTTGCTGGGGTTCAACAATCACTTCCAATGACAGATTTTTAGGAGTAGATCCTGGCACAGGAAAATTCTCAACAAAAGCACCATCTTCTAGCAAAACATCTGGTGATGCAGCAATCAACTGTTGGACCTGTTTAAATTAAAAGAATTAATGTTTGGTTGTGTATGAACAGACTTGAAGGGTGAACCTCCAAGTCCATGCGTATGTGAGTGCAAGAAAAGTTAACATGCTTCCCATTTTGGGCAAGCACAAGAGATCATTTTTACCTTAATCAGTCTGTGCAGTTCAAACACTTGGACTGCAAACACTCTCTGTTGACTGTAGAGAGGAATAGGAGTTCAATCAAGAAAATTGCACAATACTCATCCAAAAGGTAAAAGCTCCTCTAAAGTAAAAGTATTTTTACACTTCAAAGGAGCCGATTAAAAGCTCATACAAATGCTGAAAAAAAATATAGCTCATAGCAGAAAAACAATTTATATAATTCATATGAAATATTTGTGCAATTTTGTCATTTCTGGTCCAAAATAAAGACTAGAATCAAACAGGAAGCAAAAAGCAAGCAATCAAACATAGACCAGTTTTCTTCTTTTATGGGTATATGTACATGAAATCATACAAAACATATCAAAGGTATATGAACTATTAGCTGCACAGTACAAAAGGTAACTAAAGCTGCAGTGTGTACATTATAAAGAAAAATGTCAATCGCAATCCCTAAATGTCTTGAACACAAAATCCAGGCACTAGAAAATGGAAGAAGAAAAGAAAAAGAAATCCCCTTTGTTGAAGTCATAACATATATTAACAACTCATCAAGTCATCGCATACTCTCCAAGGGTCCCTATACTCCATGGGATCATCCTGTAGTACTCGATCCCCTTCTTACCTAAGTCCATTAGTGCAGTAAAGGCAAGCAGTATAGTAAGGGAACTTGCCCCAGTGACATGAAGAACCAAGTAAGAGGAAACCAATGGAGCAATACATCCAAACAGTGAAATGATCTGCTGTCACAAGGGTACCCCTTCAACACAGTACAATATTTTAAGAATGCTCACCACCCTGTTGTAAGACGATCCAGTACCCACCATTAAAAAAATATTAAGGTGTAAGGACTTTGAACATACAAAAAAATGATTTAAAAGGGACCCCAAGATGATCAGATTTTCTTTCTTCAAAGGCACATATACAACTCCTCAAATGAAAATATCCAGAGCATTTACCTAGTATAGTTACAATGCATAAAAGAAACCACTGCAGCTCTACATTTTTAAGAAAGAGAAGAAAGGAAAAATACCAGCAGTAAGTGGCAATCAGGAAAAAACTTCAACATATTTTGCAAACCAGACCTCATATCCAAATCAAATGAGCATGCAACAATATGAAAGGGATCAAAATAAGGATAATCAAATTGCAGACAAATCAAACTAAGGGTTTTTCCTCTAAAATTCTGCACATGTCCAGATAGAAAATAAGTTATGACTTTTTTTCATGACAAAATCATAAATTTATAATATAGACAAAACTCAAAAATTACAAAATACCATCAAGCTGAAACGTGTAAGAGAAACGACTTATCAGAAATCGAAAAGGGGTTTCAAAGGGAAATAATTCAAGTTAGAGATCACCACACCGAAGAAACACCTGCTACTGACAATCAAACAAGACTTACTTGGCAATTTGTCGTCTTGCTTTCCAGAAATGCTTTTGACCTATTATCCCTACAACATCATCAGGGGAAACTATCAGACTTGATAAATTTGTTACAGTGGAGATCTTGGAAACGTCACCACTTTCATCAAAATTTCCCTTCTGTATTGGGCCTCCAGTCCCAGCATCATGATATTCAGCGTCGATGGTAGCCTCAAGTAGACGGGTTTGGTTCACTGCAGAATGAAAACAACCTTTTGGTACAAGGGCATTTCCATTATCCACATCCCTTTCCCTTGTAGAGTTAAGGAGAACATCACAATGTTCAATGTCATTGGATTGAGACCCAGCCACACACTTTTGCTGTGGGGGAGCATTATCCTGATGTAACCTGCTTATATTTGGCACAGAATAATCTTGATCCTCTTGATTTGGAATCACCTTGACTTGCATCACTGGACTGTAAATAATTTCTCCACTGGATTTGTTTCTGACAGTAATTTTTCGTTGCTGTCTACTTGAGCTTACTTGTGGATGCACCTCATTCCCACTCCTCACATCTTTTCTCATATCAACAGGAACGCAGCCAAATTGTGTTAGATCCTTGTCACCATCATTTTGCACTGCAACTGAAAAACAAACATTCCTAGAACCCAAAGTAGTGAATTTTTTCCCCTTGTAACTCTCCAGTGTTTTATCACTAGGTTGACCAACCCTTGAACGAATGTATGCATGAATGTCATCTTCATCTACATTTTTTCTCTGTTCAAGTTGCACTGATGAAGTGTTCGACCTTGCCCCATCAGATTGGCGAGAAATATAACTTTCAGCTCGATGAGAAGGTGTTTGTGAAGGCAAACAAACTGGATAGACATGACTTCTCTCGTGGCCATTCCCCTGCAAACATGTTAAGACATGTTAGAAATATACAAAAAGCCATTCATGAACCTTCCCCCAAACACCTTAAATTTTTTACATAGTTAATCATTAACATGGGATGAGGCCTTCAGCGCCTTACAATGAAACAGTGAGACTTCAATAATTACTGCACCATTCTTTTTAATAAAAGTCGGATTAAGAAAACACCAGGAGATAAAATACAATTAAGTCCCTGAAATGGCCAACTTGTGTTTCCCTAAGTCCTGTTTGGATAAATTTGTCCATAAACATTCATAGGAAAATAAAATAAGAATGTAAAATGAATTGAGTTTCTCTCATAAGCTAAAATCAACTTGTGCACTTCAACTTTTTGAACAGAAGTTAAATGAAAGCTTCTATAAAAGTTAAGTGCATAATTTAATTTTAGCAAATAAAAAGAACTCAATTCATTTTACTTTCTTATTTCTTCTTCTGTAAATGGTTACGAAGAAGTTTATCCAATCAGACTCCAATCTCTAAAATAATTTGTGCACGTTTGGTTCCACATCCATGATCCACATTTAGACATGAATCATATCAAAATTGATGCAAAAGCAACTAATTGCTGCTTCCACTAACCCACATCCAACTAAAATTGATGTGAATCTAAACATCCCCATCTACCCTTATTAGGGATGATATTATTCACAAACACACAACAAACTTGGAAGACTAAACTCATTAAAAAGTTGACATTTTTTATGAACAATTTCCTTGAAGGACTAAAGCAACAAAAGCTGTACCAAAATTCACACTAACTCAAAAAACATCCTCCTAGACATACCCCAAAAAAAAAAAGGAAAATTAAGAATCCCCAAAATAGCCAAATTCCTTATCTCAAAGTCAAAAGTGACAAAACCCAATTCTCACCTGGGTTGAGGGAGTTGATGAAGAAACTTTGTTAGAAGAAGGATTTGGATTAAGAGGCAGAAGGCGTGGATTGAACCTTTGAGAGGGGATACTGAACTGTTCATAGAGGGCCATCTTATTCCTTGGCGGTGCTCTTGGCCCTCCTTTCTCTGCATCGTTTACATGAAGCCTTGGGAACATGGGCCCCACCACCTTATCATCCTCGCTCCCTCTCTTCATCCTAATCCCAATTTGTTTGTTATCTTAATTTGCGAGTAGAGAGAGAAGAGAAGGCATGATCTGAATCGAATCTGGGAGCAAAATCTAGTGGGAACCCAGATGAAGAAAGTGAAGAAGAAGAAGAAGAAGAAGAAGAAGAAGTTGACGTGAAGAAAAAGATTGGCAACGAACGAAGAGAGGAAGGAAAAGTACGGGAAACGGAACAGCGGAGTTAGGGATTCTCTGAGACTCAGACAGGGCTCCGAGGGAAGAGAAGAGGAAAAAGTGCGTTCTTGTGGACCCCACTGCAATATCTCTCCACACTTGTTTAGATTTTCTTCCTCATATCCTTATCCTTGTTTTTTCTCCCCTTAACTAAAATTAAACCCTTTTTTCATCAATATCTCAATCTAATTTCTCATTAACAAGTATAATCAAGAGACTTGTAATGTGTTCGAGAAAATTGTAAAAGCTAAATTATTTTAATTTCATTATTATTATTATTATAATCAATCGTAATAAAATGAATTTTTGTTCAATTACCTTTGCTAAAAAGTGGTTTTAAAGCATTTGATTTTTTTATTACGACAAAATAATTAATTTTTATGTAAAAAATTATTAAAAATTAATCATAAATTTTGAATTTTTCAACTTCATAAAAATAGCTTTTTTCAGGATAAAAAATTTATAAATTTAAGTGGATATCTCAAACATACAACTTATTTGTAAATAATCTTTTCTTGAAAAAATAGTTGAAGATTATATAAGTTGTCCCAAATATGCTCTTGGTTAAGTATTTACATAATAGTTATATATATTTTTAATCAAAAATGATGCATCCTCCCAATTTTTTTTACCAAAAATCTTGTGAATGTTTAAATTTTCAAAATAATAAAATTAAAAAATGTTTTATTTAAATTTTTTTGACAAATATAAATAGTTGAATGCTTCGAAAGATTCGAAATTAACATTACTCTTTTTTATTTATATTATTATTTGTGAATTATTCTCCACCAACTCTGACAATAATTTGTCTGTTCCAATAACCTGATTGGACTGATTTTTTAGTTAGATTTTCCAATCACTTATTTTATCCATAAAATTCATATTAATATTTTGCTTAAGAAGATTATTAAAAAAAAAAAAAGAGTTATACTTAAACCACTACTAACATTTACCATTGGATTCATGAATAGTAATATTATTTGAGCTTAATTATTAATTTTAAATTAAAAGATCGAAGGTTTGAGTATAGTGGCGTTAAATAGTTTAATATAATATATATATATATATATATATATATATATATTATAGTAAATATATCCTATTCAAGCATTATTGTTTCTCATTAAAAAAATATATTTGTGATATTCCGAAAGAAAATTATATTAATATTTTTGCATTTAAAATAAAATAATATTTTTAATGTATGATTATTATTTATTTGTGAGAATCCAACTCGGTGCTAAAAAGTTTTATTGATGTTTGATTTAAATACACTGTCTATTTATATTTTAAATTTAAAAGAATAATTTTAAATCATTACATGTACTTAAAATATATATCTAAATTAATTTTCGTATTTAACATAAATGCATCAACTATATGAAAATTTATATAATCATTTTAAGTATAAATTATCATATATATGATAAAATTATTAATTTTACAATAATTGTAAAATAATATTTGAAATGATTCTTTGTTATAGATATTATAATAAATGTAATAACAATGAATAAAAAGTAGACTCTTAATTTTAATATAAATTATACATTAAAAAGTGTACACTATAAACAAAAAAAAAATTACAGATAATTGTCAAAATGTTAATGAACACGTTTTCAAAGGTCACCTACCATCCAGTTGTAATTTCCGTACATTTCACTTCTTCGATTGCAAGATAGCTAATCGCCTATCCTAATCCAGATTTTCTTTTCCGTTTTAGTTTAAAATGGCAACATGTATTTAGTTTTAAAAGAGGAATTATTTAATTTTATTAATTATTTAAAACTAATTGTAAAAAAAATCTGAAAAATTATTATTTTCAAACATTCACTTAATGGTATATCAATAATTTATTTGGTTTTTTATTATTGTGTTTTATTTAATAAGTATGGCAAAGTATCTCTATCCTCTTCTTATAAACTCATTTAAAACAAGCAATAAATTTATTTTAAAATAAATAAATAAAACATTTGATTTTAAACGCTCGTTGAAATTACTAAATATATAATTAGTTTGAGTAAAATTAAGTTTAAAATTTGAATCTTGTAATTAAAAAATATTAATATGTTGTCAAATTATTCAATAAAGATTAATTATCATAAAAAAAATAATGAATATTTTGCATCAGTAATGTGGTGAGATAAAAAAGTTGTTTAAGTTAAATTATTTAAAAGAAAACTATGGTTTCTGAAATTTTTTTATTAATTTTTCTAAAAATAATTTTTATTCCTTTAAATAAGGTTTCGAGTTAAAAAAAATACTCAAATTATATTTCATATTATGTTTTACAAAAATAATACTATATAGTAAAAGGTTATTATTTAATAAAATTAAGCTAAAGTAAAAAAAAAAAAGTAAAATGACAAAAGTAACTGACTTATTTTTTAATTAAATCATATATGTTATAGTGGATAATCTAATAAAAAAATTATACCTTTTTATATAACAAAAAAACATATATGCGAAATTAGTAAGTTTAAATTTGTAATAAAATATTTTACTTGTTTAATAATCTATATTAGTTATGTGAGGTAGTACAATTGGTTTAATCTCTTTATTCCTATTAATTAAGACTTGAGATTAAGTATGACTTTCTTCATATTTTATATTCTTTCGTGCAGATTTGTCTTGTCATAATTTAAACTGTGTCTTTCCCAAAAAGATAATTTATATAATTATTAAAAGCAATACAACTTTTGGTAACCATTTTTTTGTAAAATTGTGAATTTTAGAATTTATTTAAATATGTGTTGTTATGTTAGTTGTTGTTTTTAAGTTGAAAATCTTTAAAATTAAGGAATTTCTTATGAGTTTTAGATAGTTAAAAACTTATTTGGATAGATGTCTAGCTTAATCCTGAGAGTAAGAGTATATAAGATTTATTTTAACACTTTTCGCCTCATAAGCTCATTTCTCTTCACAACTCAGAGAGAATAACTCTAGTTTCTAAGAACTTTTCTTCTTTTTCATTCTAACCATTGGAGTCATGGTAGCTAGTAGTTGAGTAGTCGTCGGTGATTCATAGTTCTTGAAGCTAAGGATTTACAAAGGTGCGAAGTTGTTTGGTGTTTGATTGGAGTTCTTCTTCTTCTTATTTCTTCTTCATTTTCTATTGGCTTGGAGTTGTGGTAAGAGAAGCTAGGAACTTTGATTCTTGTTGAGTTGATGATATGTATGTTGGTTGATTTCATATGGAGATGTTGTTTGCTTGTGTGATTCAAATGAAATGGTTGGAGTTGGGGTTTATGGCTTATGCCACATGTTTGAGATGAGAATTGTTGAATTGATCAAATTGGTGGTTGCATGTTGTTTACGAGACTAGATTTGCGTTGTATAAAGTGTATGTGTGTGTTATCTCGTGTTGCACGTTGGAATTTTTCTTATTTTCAAGTGGTTTTAATCAAACTTGTGAGTTTACGAGTGTAGGACTTATCATCGCGTCGAGCACGCCTTCGTGGCGTTGGGCATGGTTCAATCAAGGACACTTTATCTAATTCACACTAGGTGTAGGGTTGGTAGCCTCCGAATGTGAGGTGAGAGGATTGACTTTGCCTAGATTGACGTCGAGTGCCAGAGGAGTGGTGTCAAGTGTGAGGAGAAAGAATCATCTCGGATTGGATTGAGGCCGGGCGTGAGACTTTGTCATGCCAAGTGTGAGGGTTCAAGGGTATCTATCTAATCCACGTCAAGCATGGGTTGTATGACATTGGGCACGGATCAAGCAGAGGGCTCCCTGCCTCAATGGCATTGAGAGTAAGGTGAATAGCATTGGGAACGGGTTACCTTAAATTAACTTGTTGTTTTATGATGAAATCGACGAACATATATAGGATAGTTGGATCTAATACATTTGTATGATGATTAAGTTGTATTATATGTTGTATGTTGACATATGGTGATGAATCTCTATACATTGATCTGGATAATATATAGTGGATATTATGGTGAAAAGTTAAGTTGAGTTGCATGTTGTTTAATTGTGTAGTTATACTGAGAATGCTTTGACATTAAAGTTGTACTATGTTGATCGATTTATGATTAAAGGATAAATTGTTTTGAAGTTGCATATCTCGTTGTGAGGATATTGTGTTATGGTACTTTGAGAGTCCAATTTTGTTAAAAATCCTTTATTGGGAAGTTGACCCTTGAAGATGATAGTTTAGTCTCCTTTAGGACCTTAATTAATGTAATATGTAGGTCAGGTCAATGCATATAAACTACAAGCGACTATTATTGATCCATATATGAGCAAGGTCAAAGCATACGTGTATAAATTGGCCAAATTAGAGTAACGTACAAGGCTAGGAATTAGAATCCCTAACTAAATATTGGAAGGGTATAGTTAGGGGTGTTCAAATTGCTAAATTGAACTAAACTAGAAGAAAACTAAACTAAACTATAATAAATAGTTCATCAAACTAAATTGAACTAAAATAAATATTGACTAAACTAAACTAAACTATTATCTACTTTAGTGCACTATAGTTCTAGGAGTTTGAACTAAACTATAATATCAACTACATAAAACTATTATTAACTATAAACTAAATTGAACTACATTAAAAAAAAATTAAAATCAACATTTTTAAATTGAGCTACCAAATCATTGATATTAATTATGAATTAACACTACTATAATTTTTTTTATTACATGCGATTTTTCCTGCAAATTTTTCATAAAAATTTGCAGGAAACGTTGTTCCTACAAATTTTTTTGTGAAATTTTATCTATAGGTAATAACTTCGTGGATAATATGTTTTTACGAATTTTAAAATTTGTAAGAAATTTTCCAGCGAAATTTCTTGCAAAAAAAATCGCAGGAAGGTTTCCTGCAAAAAAAATCACAGAAAAGTTTCCTGCAAAAAAAATTCGCAAGAAAGTTTCGTGCGAATTTTTTTGCAATAAAATTCTGCAAGAATATTTTTTACGAAAAAAATTAAAGAAATCACTAATGATCACAATGAATTTATCTGAAGCATTTGTTTTCACGCCCCAACATGTGATATATAATCTTTTAAATTCTAAGATTGTAGATTATAAGCCTAACACTTAACCATACAAATCAACTTATAAGATAAGTGTTGCCCCAATTTATA